CCCCCCTACCCGAACGAACAAACAAACAAGCTAACAAACAAACAAACGAACAAACATTTTATGCTTCCCATGAAGTTGAGATTGTTTCAATATATATGCTAGCAGGTCTGCTGGGGTAATAATATACATTACATTGTTATTTAACATAGTAATACGGGTATTGGGATCATGGCATTTAACCCTATCCGTATGCCTTGGGGTCATTTTGTACCAACGGGGTTGCAGTTTTCACATTTTAGAATACTTCTGGTACGAAAATCTCTTTGAAACTTTCAGTATTTCTCAAAAAATCATTTTGACAGACAGCTATGCAAAGCGTACGGATCGGATTAACGAGTAAATTTCCTCTTTGGAAAGTTGTGGCACAGAGTTCCCCACGTTGTATGGATATGGTAGTAAAACACGACGTACAGACAGGGTTAAATAATATGACTGAATCTGATATTCTGAGTACTCTGCGCCAAATTTGACACGTATTACATGTATATCGTTTAGGAGGTTGCCCGGGCGGGGTGGTGTAGAACACTACAGCTCTCAGGAAATTCTGACTGTGATGGAAGAGCTAGGTGAACCTATCTTTTAAATCTCTATTTTTAAAAAATTATTCAAAATATTTTCATTATACTCTTATCTCCTTTCCACGAGAACCTACAAGGAAGGGAAAGAAGAGGAAAAAACAACAGGGGGCGGATTTTGTAAAGTAAACTCAGTCAGAGACCTCTGCCATGGAACCTACGGGGCTGTATTGGAAATAAATAATATGAGGAACAAACACAACAAACGCCCAAGAGGCAAACAGAGCCGTCTATCAGTATTACAAAAAGTATAGAAGCAAAAGCACCGAAACAACGAAAAGAACAACAGTAGAAGCAACAGCAGTGATAAAACAACAACAAAACAACAGACTTAGATCTAGTGTTAGGTGTTGCAGCAGGAGTAACAACAACAAAAACGATGACGACGACGACCATTACGAGGACAACAACAAAAATAAAATGATAATAATAATAATAATGATAATAATAATAATAATAATAATG